CTACCACTCGTTTCCGTGTCTTTTCTCCAACGTTTGGGTTATTTAGTTTTCTTGCAAGTTTTGCTACTACCTTGTTTAGCATATTCAACGTTCCACGTGTCCCGAGGGCATAATTTTCGTTTTTCCTCTGCCTCAGTTTGGTACTGTTGTTCGTACATGTATTTCATTTTAGTTCGTCCCTTTTGTTTTGGCTTGTTTGTGTTCCATTTGGCTCCGGGAGCCGATTTTGTTTGGAACGAAATATTTTTGTTTGTCTGGACCGCTCGTCTCGGGGAGCCGGTTTTCTTTCGGAAAAAATTGTGGTTATGGGTATACGGTCCAGGGGCCCGTTTCTCGAAAGTCCCGGTAACTTTTCGGGCCCGAAATCAAATATTCAAATCGAAATATAAAGAATAAGATCGCGGGTCCAAGCTAGCAAACTACTCCATTTCGTCTCATTAACTGATAGTTTTATCATGTTAGATGCAAAACTGTTGAAACCTCGATCTTTAATGTAAACGTACACAGCTTACCGGGCCCGTTCATTATCGGGACTTTCGAGAAACGGGCCCCTGGACCGTTCGGCTCTGGGACGCGGGTTTTTGTTTAAAACCAAGTATTAGTGTAACGTCCGGGACCGTTTGGCTCTGGGGGCCTGTTCTTTGTTTGGGACGAATTTTTGTTGGTTCGGCTCCAGTAGCCGGTCTTCTTTTCTTTGGAACGAAATATTATTGTGTTCGCGGTCTGAGATTGTTCGGCTCAGGGAGCCGGTTTTGGTCATATACGGTCCGGGACCGTTTACCTTTGAAGGAGAAACAAGGCGTTGACGTTGTCACCACTGCTCTTACTTCTGTTCGCAACTGTGTATGACCTTAAAAGGCTTCTGCTTACGTCGAGGCCCTGGTTATTGCCTCATTTCTTCGTTGTTCCTGGGGGGCCTTCTCGGCGCCTTTATTCTGGTCATTAGTCAGAGCTGGGGTCAACGAAGGATAAGGGTATCCCGCCTCCTTTTACTCCACTTTCTTATTGTTATAGGTTTGTTCTCCGTTTTCCCAGGATTCGCGGTTGCACTACTGGCAGTCTTTGCGCTACTGAGCCCTGACGTCAAATGGTGAGACATAAACAAGGAACCTTTATCCTTCGTTGGCCCCACCGTATAGGTGGCGCTTGTGAGTAAAGATCCATCCCTCGCTGATCTGGCCCAATTGCGTCTTAGACACCCAGATTATTTCAAAGCGGGCAGTTTACATAATAATGTTGATTTCTGGGAGGATCTCATTTTTTCAACTGGTTACACCTGTCCTCAAGTTAATTTGCTACAGATAATCCGAGAGGGAGTGAGGGTTGATAGTTTCTTACGTCATTTCAAGGGCAACTTTAAAGGAAAACGTTATGACTCGGCTGTTCCGCCAATTTTTTTTTTCCCGAAATCTCCTTGTTGCCATCAGTTAAGGTGACTCGACCCAGTTATTTTGTTGGGGATACCATCCTACTTTGAAGCTCTCTGGTATCCTTACCTTTAATTTGATCATAAGTCTAACATATAGCATGGATAACATATAGATAAATCTACAATACAGCATAAAATTTTGGGCGATCGGAGTAAAATAAGGACTATAGTAACATTTAGTGGACGCCAGGATTGTTTCTCTAACGTTTTCATCCCTTTCGCTCAAATACAAAAACAGCAGTGAATACTACTTTTATTTGAACACGGTAAACGTCTCTCCAACTCTAAATGAAGATGATTCGATGGGTTCTGACCAAAATGCTACACAAGACCACGATTCTAGTAATTTGCATAACCGCTCGTCGAGCTTATTAAATATTCAAGGTAACACCTTTCAAGCCAGCAAAACAAACAACCTTTCTGTTCCGCCGGTGTCGCCCAAGAACGGAACGAACACTTCCCGATTACCATCGGGAAACTCTCGGACCGACGACAATACGTTTCCAGTCATCACGGATCGTCCTATTGAATCGCGTAGCGTGTTTGGTCTGAGCTTGATGCTTGCAAACACAATGTCTCTGGCGCCTAAGATTGACGAAGTTCGTTCTACCATCTTGGACTTCAAACCAAATTTAGGGTTCATTACCGAAACGTGGCTGAGGGACACCATCAGCGGAAACCACCTCCACATTCCTGGATACTCGTTTATTTTTAGAAACCGCACCACGGATATTCACGGAGGGATTGGGCTCTATATAGTGGACTCGATTAGGTATAGATCTCTTGATCACTTACAACACCCTGAGTACGAAGCTCTTTGGGCGTGGTTAAGACCAAAAGACTCCCGCGCGGGATACCGTGTGTTGTCGCGGCCACGATATACCATCCTTTCTTCAACGACAGCGCCAGAGACACTGCTTTGTTAGACTACCTATCAGCAACTTTGACAACTGTTGAGGGTGAATTCACAGGTTGCGGGATTCTACTCTGCGGCGATTTCAATCGGTTAAAGGTGAATCGTTTAGCTGCAAAATTCAGACTGCGGCAATTGGTCAACAAGCCCACTAGGGGTGATCAGATCCTGGACTTGGTCTTAACCAATCAACCAGATTTGTACGATATAAATTCCGTACAGATTTTACCGCCGTTTGGTCTATCGGATCACAATGTCGTCATCGTGCACCCAACAACTCGTGCTCCAAGGGAAGGCCCAAGTAGAAGAACCCTTTCCAAGCGGGACACTCGGGCCAGTCGCAAGTCAGAGCTTGGGCGTTTCCTCGCGTCTATCGAGTGGTCAGTGGTTAGCGAAGCATCTAACTGCGAGGCTAAATTGGTGCTGTTTACGGATTTCATCAAAATTGGTCTCGACCACCTAATGCCGGTTAAACATGTCGGACTTCACCTGAATAATCCCCCGTGGGTTACTGAGCGGTTCAAGAACCTCATTAAGCTCCGTCAACACGCCTTCCACCATGGAGACATGGAACAATACCGGCGATATCGAAATGATGTCAACCGCGCGCGCAAATCACTTCGCAGCAAATACTTTGCAAGCAAAGTGAATAATTTAAAGAACACCAAGCCCTCGCAGTGGTGGAGCGCAGTTAATCGAATCGCCGGTATGAATCCCGCTTCATCATCTGAAAGTCTCCTTTCCAACCTGCAGCTCGGGGATAGCTTCGATCGCCTAAGTGACGCTGAACTAGCTAACGCCATCAACGCTGTGTTCTTAGAACCCACGAAGCATTACCAACCCCTATACGCTGTCCCTACAGAGGTGGAGGACTCCTATGTGCCTTTAATTACGGAATTTGATGTCCTATACGCTCTAACCAATCTAAACCCGCGTAAGGCAGCTGGACCTGACGACATCGGTAACTGGCTTTTGAGGGAATATGCAGAGATCCTCGTACAGCCTATCACATCTATATTGAACGCGAGCTTTAGAGAACATAGGCTTCCCGCCCCTTGGAAGCTTGCGGAGGTGGTGCCTCTCTCAAAGCAAAAACCCGTGGTAGATGCTACTAAGCACCTGCGTCCTATCTCCTTGACGCCCGCTATCTCTAAGGTTGCGGAAGATTTTGTGGTACTCAGATACGTCGGTCCAGCGGTTTTGCAGATTATAGACCCGAACCAATACGGCGATATTCCAAGATCCTCCACCTTGTACGCTTTGATATCCGTGGTACATAACTGGTCACAAGCCACTGACGCCACGGGCGCGGCTGTTAGAGTGGTACTTTTCGACTATCGTAAGGCTTTCGATCTTATTGATCACAATCTGTTGGCCAGAAAGATTGAAGCCCTGGACATGCCACGGTGGGTTCGCGTTTGGGTGCTGGATTTTCTGTCAGACAGGAAACAACGTGTCAAGCTGTCATCAGACTGCCTGTCAGAGTGGGGCCTAGTCCCCGCCGGGGTGCCACAGGGGACCAAGCTTGGTCACTGGTTGTTCTTATTAATGATCAACGATCTTGAGGTCGACGCGCTCACTTGGAAGTATGTAGACGACACGACTATCGCCCAAACGATACCGCGAGGTTTGACTAGTGATGTACAAAGCGCAGTTTCCGCTGTTGAGGCGTGGTCGATCGAAAATAGGATGGAACTGAACGCTGACAAATGCAAGGAGATGCGCATTGACTTTAAAAGGAACACTCAGAATTTTCCACCAATTGTGATAAATGGCAGGGAACTATCAGTATCAAACAGTGTAAAAATCCTAGGAGTCACTATTAGCTCAGATTTAAAATGGAACGAACACGTCTCAGAGTGCATTAAGAAAGCGAACAAGCGCCTTTATTTTATTGTTCTTCTAAAGCGCGCCAACGTTCCACTGAGCGACATTGTAAATTTTTACTGCACTGTGATAAGACCTGTTTTAGAGTACTGTGCGCCAGTTTTCCGTCATGCGCTTCCACAGTATCTTAGTGACGACATCGAACGAGTGCAAAAGAGAGCGCTCTCCATCATTTGTCCTTATGCGTCGCATTCAGAATGTTTGGTCAGGTTCGATTTAGTAACCTTGCACGCTAGACGCGTGGCTCTGTGTAGCAAGCTTTTCGAGTCTATCACGTCATGCCCGGATCACAAACTTGTGCCTGTCTTACCTCCTAAGAGAGAACACAGACATAATCTAAGACTTTACCATAGTAGCAACTGACGAGGAACGCTATAGTTCCGAAACTGCAGTCTTGCTTAAGAAACCACTTGCTAGAACCTTACTATGAGTGAAAACTCAGAGAAAAACCTGCAAGAGATGTTTGACGGTGACGTCTCATTAGACGATGAACAATTGAACTCCATAGTCGAGGATGACTCTCTATTAGACTCAAACGGCGATATAGTGAGCGGCCAACGCAGTCCACCACCGGGGCGTTATAACCAAAAGCGAAGACACGACAACCAGAACAGACGCAGCCGCCAGCAGCAAAGCAGAACAAGCCGAGCCAGCAAAGGAAAACAGCCTGCCCACGAACCCAAATTCCAAGCAAGGAGAGGAGCTCCGGAAAGAAGCCCTTTTAGAAAACGTCCACGCCGCACCGCCTCCGACCGCGATGACATCTCACGCATGAAAGACAGAATAGAGAGCTCCGAACAATCAGTTATTAAACTGAAAAGACACATGGAAAACGGCACTTGTCCGCCGGACTTGCGTTACGACGCAAAAGCGAACATTTTTCCAGACGAGGACTTCAAGTCCGACATTAAAGCCATCCGAAAGGAGGCTGAGCAGAAATTTTTAGGAGCGCTCACTAGGTTTCACAACCGTCGCATCGACCGCAATCAGGCACAATTGCGAAAAGCCACAACTTGTAATAAGAATACATTAGTCAAAGCAGGCAAAAGTCAATCTGACTCATGTAACATTCCAGAAAGTTTAAAAGCTATAACAGCTAACCTAGAGAAACGCCTTGAAGAAGTAAATGCAATGCTGTACGACCTTAAAGAGGCAAACAATAAAACTGTTGAAACTTATACTCGTGTGGTCTCTGACTCAGGGTCTAGTAATAAGAAGGACCACGGGATTAGAAAGCGCAAATTTAAGAACAAAAAACACACAGAAAGACGAAAGAAAACCCGCAAAGATATTAGAGCTATGAGAACAGAATCCAATAGAAAATACATAAAGAACCTCTCCAATCTAGAACTTACAAATGATCAGATAAATCTGCTCTCTCGTGGATTAAAATTTGTCCCTACGCCTACAACAAACGAAACCGCATTAAGAAAACAACTCCTTACAGACTTCAAAGATTTTGCTAGGAGAATGCGGCTCCAGTTTATATATCACGGCAAGGACAAAAACATCCACCCCTTCTACGTTAAGTCAAACTGGGAACCACCAGTTCAACAGTCTGTCACCCTAGAGAGCTATCTAGAAGAAATTAAAATACAACTTGCGCACACACCGATAACCAAAGCTATACCCAACCTACCGCTAAATGAGAGAAAAGCTATCACAGAGCTAAAAAACAACTCTGAAATAAACGTCAAGAAAGCGGATAAAGGTACTACCACAGTCATAATGAACAAACTGGATAAAACACACGAGGGGCAGACCCTGTTAGACGATGGAAACAACTACACACCCCTCGAAGACCCCATGGCAGGGGCAACTTTCCAAAAAGTGAAACAAATAGTCGAAGAACTACATCAGGGAAGTTTTATTGACGAAATGACTGTTAAATGGTTATCACAGACACCTAACCCACCCAGAATACCTGTCTTCTACACTCTCACAAAGATTCATAAGCCAACTCCTGTTGGCCGTCCTATAGTGGCAGGAAACGACGGACCCACCGAGCGAATATCATCATTCGTTGACAGCCTACTTCAGCCTATAGCTAAGTCACAAAAGTCCTATCTTAAGGACACAACTGACTTTATTAACTTCATAGAAAGGAGAAACCTCCCAGGGGACGTTTTCCTAGTCTCCTTAGACGTTACTAGCCTGTACACAAATATCCCACAGGAAGAGGGAATAAACACAGTATGCAAAGCATACCAGACTTTCTACGGGGAAAACACCCCCATCCCCACACAATCCCTCAGAAGAATCCTTAAACTTATTCTTCAAGAGAACTCGTTTGAATTCAACGGCAAAAACTATCTCCAAACACACGGAACCGCAATGGGTACAAAGATGGCAGTCGCCTTTGCCAACATTTTTATGTCGGCGGTAGAGACAGAAATACTGAACCTCAGTAAAACTAAACCTCTTGAGTGGAAAGATACATTGATGATATTTTCTCATTGTGGAAAACTGATAGAAAGGAGATAGATGAATTCATTGCTCTTGCAAACAGGCATCACCTTTCAATTAAATTTACGGCTGAAATATCTGATAAAGAGATTAACTTTCTGGACACAACTGTTTACAAAGGCGAGAGATTTCACAACCAAGGAATCCTTGACATCCGCACACATTTTAAACCTACAGAGACTTTTCAATACACGCATTTCTCTTCCTGTAACCCTCAAGGGGTCAGAAAAGGTCTCATTATAAAGGGCGAAGCCCTTAGACTTCTGAGAACTAACTCCTCAGCTAAATCCTTCTATGAGAACATCTACAACTTCAACGCCTTCGCGCTAGAGGTTACCCTCACAATCACATAGGAAAAATCACCTCTGAGGTTAAATTTACCGAACGGAAGTTAGCTTTACAAAAGAACAATGAAGTGCGAAAGAAAATTCTGCCTTTCGTTACCACGTACCACCCTGCTTTGCCGAACCTTAAAAACATTTTAATGAGCAAATGGCACTTAATTCAAGATCAACCACTACTGAGAGAAATATACAACGAGCCTCCCATCATTTCATATAAAAGAGCAAAATCGCTGGGAGATATCCTCGTTAGAGCAAAACTATAAGGTCACGTATCACACTATCACGAGCTTATGAGTCGTGTTTGGCCTGTCAACACCTTTCACCTTTTTGCTTAAGAATCCATAGCAGTCGCACAGATGACTGTTAAGCAAAAACTTAAGAAAATACCTACGAAGGAACAACAAGACATCGCGCTCTAGTTCAAAGACTCCCTTATGTTAAGAAAAACTAAATGGACTGTGTGAGCGCTAAGAGAATTATCTTGACTGACGCACGGCATATTTCTCCAAACTTGGTGTAGCTTTAGTTTTTAAGCTACAGTGTACAACTCAAATCTGAAGATCGCACTATCCGTGGAAATTCAAAATCCTGCAAACCACACTATAGAGCTGGGCCCAGAGTCATACTGACATGGCAGGAAATAATCACATTCACGGACAAAGAAACTTGCATGCATGCATGTAGTTATTCAGATACAGCCATTTCGGAGAAAACCAAAAAAACTAAAATCTTTATTCAGCCGTAATAAACAGAGGTCAAAGGATATAAAACACTTAACAACTGCATCTGAAATCAAATCCTGTCAGGGACACCTAGTACAGAAGCATAAACCACAGGAAATGATTACTCAGTATGCATGTAACAAACCTGCTTCATGACCTCTAAATATAAGACTTAGCGCGGCAAAAACAAGATTTACTCAGTCAAAGTTTAGAATGCTACACGTCTTGCACTGTGTAGTGCTAGTAACCTTCGCGCGAGAGAAAAAAGAAAAAGAACCACTGTTCAAGCAGACTCTCAAGGTCACGTTTCACATTATCACGAGCTTATGAGTCGTGTTTGGCCTGTCAACGCTTATTTCTTAATGTGTACATAATTTTTTAGACTAGTTTGTACATAGTTATATATAGAGAGTTTTTCGCATTTTTATAGAAATTTTTTTTTTGTTATAATTTCAATTAGTATTTATATTTTTGGAATTTATTTAATCTTAGTTTTAAGTAATTGTAACGCAATTCAGTGTACGGACTGCCATGTTCGATATTTTAATAAACTATCTATCTATCTAAACGCAATAAGTCAAAGACGTCTTAACGTGAAAGCATTTCATAAAGGTAAATATACACTGTAAGTACAAGACTATTAAAGTACAAAGGAAAACGCCTAAAAAATTTGGTAACAAATCTGGACCTATGGCATTTTTACTAAAAATACTTAAAAATAAAAAAGGGACAATAAGAGCAAAATTTAGGGATTAAGTGACCATTTGACAAAGATCAACAGGGCCGTTTTCAAAATGCTTGCAGATTTAGCTGACGGCTCAGTCATTTGTTAAACATTGCTTAGAATGTACAGTCGAACCTGGATTATCCAGGCCTCGATTATCCGGACTTTCTCTCTGGTCATGAATATTTATAAGTCACAATCAAGATCCGTAGCCATATCTACAGCATTGAAAAGTGCAGTCAAATGCGAGGTTTTGTTTGCTTTCAAACATCAAAAGCAGCGCTTGCACGCGTCGTAACTAATGAAGAACATTCGAATGAGTTATGAAATTATTATCAGATATTACATCTGATTGCTACAACAGAATGACACAAAAATGTCGGTGCTCACATCTTTGAATTGCAGGCAGCCGTTTGTAAGTCAGACAATCCAAATTAGAGGCCTGGGGTGGAGAAGGATGAAATAGCAAACGGCCACAACGAGAACAATAGCAGTAATTAAGGCTAAGTTCACACTATATCGGCTAGCTTTTCGTGAAGACTCAAAAAAGCTATCCCCTTTGTGACTCTCCGTGCGTGAACAGAAGCCCTATCTGGTATGCCCCGGGGGGGTGTACTCCCTATAATGGCCTATATAAGGGGAGGCTCCACCCGAAAGGATTACCTTTTTCAGGCTTCAGGTATATGAGAGGGTAGGGATTTTACTCGTTGAAGTATAGGAAAAGGTAGGGAAATCTGTTATTTGGGTCTGTGAAAGGGCCCAACAAATGCAAAGGGGTAACAGAAGAATTTTATGGCCTTATAAAGTCGAGAAAACGTTCTATTTTTGTGATTGGTTGTCATTTAAATGAAAGAGCATTTACATCAGTTAAAAGGGATGCAAAGTTATTAAACAGGTATGTGAAAGGGGTACCATGTGTCAATAGAAGGTATACGAAAGGGGTTCTCTTTTACGTGAGAAGTGGTATATAAATGGGGGTTGGACCTTGGGGCGGAGCCTCACTGTTTAAAAGTTTGTTGAGTACCCCCCACCCCCCTCCCCCCGAGCTGGTATGCTTTTTGTGCCTGCACAAAAGCTCTCCGTTATAGAGTGAGTCTATAGCTTAAGTAGTCATACCCTTAGATATGGTTTTTCCTTGTTAAAATCCAAATACTGATCATTTGTTTAATTATTTACAACTTTGTTTGTCGGGATCGCGGACCGGGTGATTTTACTATACGGTATCAGGGCCACCATCAGTGATTCAGGGAATGAATACACCTTAGAAGCGAAAACGAAGGAAACAGAAAAAAGGAAGCATATTCTTTTGTCCTGTTTTGTTCTGTTTCGTTTAATTTGTTTTTATATGTTCTTTTTTTTCACACCAAGATAGCCCAACACATCGAATTTTCGGTATAAAAGACCGACAGATACAATGATACAACACACCCCCGAAAAGTAAAATAAAATGAAATTAATCATTGCTTTTCTTTTTTTCCGTGGGTAAGTAGAAATCCTAAAAGAACATCGAAACATCGTTATCTTTTAAGTTTGGGTGACTTGTCAGTTTCTAGCCTCCTTAGCGGACCTCTTAGGCAAGAGACGTTCATTTCAAAGAGTTCAAAAGGTCACGGTTTGTAATTTGTGATTGGTGGATTTCGATCCGTTTTTATTTCAAGGTTCCTTGCTTGTGCGCGTCCTGTTTCGGGCAATTATCGACTTGTTTGCTGCGGTTTTTCTGATCTTTCTTAATACGAAATGTTTTCCTCGGCCTTACTTGTAACAATGAAGCAAAGTCTGCCTCCTTCCCTTCACAAAAATACCATCGCGATTTCCTTCGCTATTGAGCAGTCAAGAGTTATCCTCAGTTTTTGGGTTTGCCGAACCCTGTGGGCAAAATGGCAATAACATTACGTCCAGCAAGCACGTTCTTCACAGCCGTTTCCTGCTCCCTCTTAAGAATAATTTTCTGCCTCTCTCTGTTCATATTAAGATGTTTTGGAACTTTATCGACACTTAATTCAGCCGAGTCCGCCATTCTTTTCCGCAACAGTTTACCATTTCCTCCCTTGGGAAATATGCGAAGGATCATCTAACATGATTGACATATGTATGGCCCTCGACCAATCCGTTTTCTCCGCAGACTCCCCACTCCCTTTTTCAGATCACGGCTCTGCCGCCAAAACCTTAATCGCACACCGAGACAATACCGCCAGCTACCCAGGCTATGTGGTTTCGGGTGGGTATTCTATCTTGTTTCTGCCTTACAGTTCGATAGATTGTTGTTATTTTGATAAAATCAATATTTGGATATCTAAATTTAAAAATCACGATTTGAAATTCTCACTTAATTTTTAAATAAAATTGCTATAAAATTCGTCGGAATTTATAGTTACGGTTGAGGCTATGGGCTGTGGCTATGGCTATTCAGGGTGTGAAAAAATCGCGAAAGTTATATGTAATTTATGGCTTCCTAAGTAAACAAACCCTGTTCGTGCTAATTACTTGGCGCCCTTTTGTTTGCTTGAAGGCGGAAGATGATCGATTTTTTTAATAAGTCAAGTTTATCATACTAAAAATGGAAAGTTGCTGTTCTGTCAAAGCCCTTGTTGGTGGAGTTTGCGGCTATGATCCTAAAGACCGTAAGTGCGACTTTCAAATTGTTCCCTATTGTCTTGCGATAAGGAAGTCAACCGTCACAAGTCTCTCTAATTAAAAAAATTCCAATTTTTTTTGCAAAGGCCAAACTCTATTTTTTTGTCGTAGTGCGAACAGGTTCAGTTTTTTGTTGATGTTTATTATATTGTAACTAACAACAACGCAGAGTGCCAGGGTGGCTAAGGTGACTCGACCCAGTTGTGACGGTACCATCCTACTTTGAAGCTTTCTGGTATCCCCACCTTTACTTTGATAGTAAGTCTAACATATAGCAAGGATAACATCTAAATCAATCTACAATATGGCATAAAATTTTTGGCAATCGGAGTAAATGTCACGTGGTCATAGTGCCACTTCTCTTTGGGGTATGAGTC